AAGGACCATACTCAACCAAAATACGAAATAAGCACCATATACAACCAACATATGGCAAAGTGTGGTTTGAAGGGCAAATAGTGCTTTGTTGAGCAACTAATGCATTGAAACAGTTGTGTTTATACCAGGCAAAGTATTATTGAAATACTATCTGGAAAGTCAAATGAAACACCTTATGTTTACATATTCATGAAACAATTTTTTTTGAAGTATTCATTCTATGCGAATTTAACTACTAGAGGAATTCTTAAGCAAATAGCCCAATTTGACTCAAGTGAATACTATTTAAAGGACCATACTCAACCAAATACGAAATAAACACTTGCGGAAATGGAAACGGTTCTACCTACATAACAATGAGACAAAGATTGCTGAAGTATTCACTAAAGACCACTTGTATACTATGTCTGAAAAGCACAATTTGCATAAGCAAGCTTAAAAATGCACAATAATGGAAATCGGTTCTACTTACATAACGATGAAACAAAGATGTCTGAAGTATTCAATAAAGACCACATATATACTATGCTTGAAAAACGCAACTTGCACAATCAGGCTCAAAAAATGCACAAGAATCCTAGAAAAGTACTTCTAAAGTGAAAGCCATACCACAAGCAAATTCACAAATACGTAAAAACATCCAAAAGCGCAAGCTTTTCAGGAGAATCTCTGGTGAAGTTTGGATTATAGGGTTTTGGGGTATCCCTGGACGAGTAGGAGTCACTTTTTAAGCAAACAATTCTAAGCAATAAATGCTTTTTCTCAAGACAAGTATTGCAAATGCTGCTTCTAGATAATTAATCGCATTTACCAGGCAAATATTATCCATGCGAATTTAGCTACCAGAGCACCAAGTAATGGCTGAATAAGGTCTACTACACTTGAGTGCAACCAAAAGATGCACTAAACACTAGCGGCTCTACTTACATAATAACGAAACAAAAAGTTCTGAAGCACTAGAAAGACCACTTGTATACTATTTTTGAAAAGCACAATTAGCATAAGCACACTTAAAAATGCGTAGTTGTTGCCTCGTGACCATGAAGGCGAACCAAAAAGCCAAAATACCAAAACCAAAAAACCAAAAATACCAAAACCAAAAAACCCAAAAAAACCAAAACCAAAAAAACCAAAAACACCAAAAAAAGCAATTTTCTGGGGCTCTTGGAGAAGCCTCATAGGAATTTCCTGAGAGTCCCGGAAAATTGGTTTTTTTGGTATTTTTGGTTTTTTTGGTTTTGGTTTTTTTGGTTTTTTTGGTTTTGGTTTTTTTGGTTTTTTTGGTTTTGGTTTTTTGGTTTTTTTGGTTTTGGTATTTTTGGTTTTTCTACTGTCCCGTGCATGCGATTTTGGTTGTATTTTAGTCTACGCCCTAGGAAATACGCTATATTGCACACCGAGTTTGCTTGCAGTGCAGCTGTGACTTGAGACAAGGCGAAAAAGGGTAGGTCACTGGGGGGGGGGGGTACCATATATATATATATATAAGGCACAAAATATTCGTGGGCAAGGCACAAAAATTCGTGGGCAAGGCACAAAAATTCGTGGACAAGGCACAAAAATTCGTGGACAAGGCACATTTCGGATTTTTGGGCCCTTGGGCAAGGCTTAAAACCCCAAAATGTGCCTTGCCCACGAGTTTTTGTGCCTTGTCCACGAATTTTGTGCCTTGCCCACGAATATTTGTGCCTTTGCCCAGGAATTTTTGTGCCTTGCCCACGAATTTTCGGGCACGTAAATTGGTGGCAAGGCGCAAAATTTCGTGGGCAAGGCACCAAAATTCGTGGGCAAGGCACAAAAATTCGTGGACAAGGCACAAAAATTCGTGGGCAAGGCACAAAAATTGATGGGCAAGGCACAAAAAAAATTGGTGGGCAAGGCACAAAAATTCGTGGGCAAGGCACAAAAATTCGTGGGCAAGGCACAAAAATTGGTGGCCAAGGCCCAAAAACTCGTGGGTGGGCAAGGCACAAAAATTCGTGGGCAAGGCACAAAAATTCGTGGGCAAGGCACGTTCCCACCCCAACTTTTGTATGAAAATACTTTATAGTTTCTTAATATTATGGGATTCTCTGGGTGGGTGGGTGTTATATCCGAGCCGTAAATCTGCTCGATCCGGAGCTGCTGAACCCTAAACCCTAAACCCTATTGGGTTGAAGTGCCCTTAGAAAAATAGTATTTCTTCCTTATTGGGTTCAAGTACCCTTTAAAAATGCAAAATGTTCCCCCAACTATGATAAAGATTCGGGTAGTCCTCCTGGGCGAGCTGCGCCCACAGGGCCTGGGCGCGGTGCAGAGCGGTCTCCATGGACTTCCGGCTAAAGGCTCGACCTGCGGAAGGGTTCAGGGTTTAGGGTTTAGGGTTTAGGGTTTAGAGTTTAGGGTTTAGGGTTTAGGGTTTAGGGTTTAGGGTTTAGGGTTTAGGGTTTCGGGTTTAGGGTTTCGGGTTTCGGGTTTCGGGTTTCGGGTTTCGGGTTTCGGGTTTCGGGTTTCGGGGTACCTTTTGGGGTCCTTTTTCTAAGGGGATCCTGCTATTTAGGCTCTATGTCCCCCCGAATATTCGTAAACCCTAAACCCCAAACCCCAAACCCCAAACCCTAAACCCTAAACCCTAAACCCCCACCTTATGTTCGCGGCTTTCGCAAGCCTCTCCCGGAGTCGCCGGGCTCCTTCTGGGAAGAGGTGCTTCGGCAACCCAAAGGTGACACAGCTACTGGAATCCTCGGTAGCCCAGTAGCCATCCTACAATAAGGGTACCCTTTAAGGGTTTGGGGTTTAGGGTTTAGGGTTTAGGGTTTAGGGTTTAGGGTTTAGGGTTTAGAGTTCAGGGTTTAGGGTTTAGGGTTTAGGGTTTAGGGTTACTTCATAAGAGAACCCAGAACCCAAAAAAAGAAAGGGCAAAGGGTACCACTGGGCTGCCAAGAATCTCTTGCTTGCTGCAGCTTCCACATCATGACCTGTGCGTCATTCTTAGAGCTCCCGATATTTGTCATGGCCGCGGAAAGGAAGGGGCTGAGACAAAACTGTCCTGGAGAGCGTCCGGATCGTGCGTTGCTTCGAGCTGAAATTTCGCGCTGCGGTTCGGGGAGGTACTAACGCGAGGAGGGGGGAGGATGGATGGGGCGTAGAAAGTAGGGGTTCAGGGTTCAGGGTTCAGGGTTTAGGGTGGGTTTAGGGTTTAATAAGGGTGTTGGGTTTAAAGGGTTTTGGGTTTTGAGTTTTGGGTCTATGTGGGGTTTTTTGGGGGTCACGGGCTTGGAGCTTAGGGTTGGGGGTCAAGGCTTTAGAGCCTGCGCCCCTGGCTACCTCCAGATATTCAATGCACAACCAGCCATATTGCTGGAAGGAAGAGGGCCTAAAATCCTTGAAGCACGCTATACCATCAAGCTCAAACCACGTAACCCGAAGCCCCAGCCCCAAGACGACTAACACCCTAAGAACCTTATACCCCTGAGCCCGAAGACCCTGAAACCACTACACAAAAACACAAAGCTGAAGCAGCAAAAACAAAGCAATGCCTAAAATCCTTAGGTCCTAAAGCTTCAGCTTAAGCCCTTGTAAGCCCTAAAAAACATACAAAAAAACCCTAAGGCCCCAAAAAGCTCCACTCTAAAACCCTCGAAATGACCGGACTGCATCCCTGGAAGCCGAAAAACCGAAAAAAGCTCTGTTGACGGAAGAAACCCTAAACCCTAAACCCTAAACCCTGAAAGCCCCACTGGCAGCAGGGTCCCTATATCCCTAAAACCGTGAAACCGGTAAACGTCCCCCAAAAACCGCCATCCATTACGAAAAAGATGAACGAAACTTCAGCCTAAAGCCAAGTTCTAAGATGAACTCTGAAAACCTGGGTAGACGACCCTGTTTCAAAAGAAGTAGAAGAAGGTAAAGCTGCACTAACACCTGCTGCGTGTTTCAAAGCGTTTAGACAGGAGCGAAAGCTAAAATCTTTGAAAGCTGTAAACCACCCTAAACCCTAAACCCTAAACTCCAAAATCAGCCCAAAAGCCAAAACCCCAAGTCGTTTCACACACATTGAAAAACAGTGCCAGAAATAAATCAACCCCCAAAACATCCTAACCCTGACCCACAAAACCACAAATCTCTAAACCCTAAATCCGAAACCCTAAACCCTAAACCCTAAAGCCCATACGCCAAAATCCCTAAACTCCATACCCCAAACCCCCTAAGCCCCCCCAAAATGCCTAAACTCCACACCCCAAGCCCTAGACCCAAAACCCTAAACCTAAACCCGAAACCCTAGACACTAAAATCCCTAAACCCCAAAATCCCAAAACCCAAAACCCCTAACCTCCACCCTGGACCAAAAACCCTAAACCCCAAACCCTAAATCCCAAACCCCGAACCCTAAACCCTAAACCCAAACCCCAAACCCCAAACCCTAAACCCCAAGCCCCAAGCCCCAAACACTAAACCCGAACCCCCAAACCCTAAACCCTGAACCCTGAACCCTAAACCCCAAACCCCAATTTCCAAACCCTTAACCCCCAACCCTAAACCCCAAACCCCAAACCCCAAACCCTAAACCCTAGACCCTAAACCCTAAACCCCAAACCCTAAACCCAAACCCCAAACCCTAAACCCTAAACCCCAAACCCCAAACCCCAAACCCTAAACCCTAGACCCTAACCCCTAAACCCCAACCCCAAAACCCTGAACCTAAACCCCCTAACCCCAAAACACACCCTAAACCCCAAACCCTAAACCCAAACCCCCAAACCCTAACCCCAAACCCTAAACCCTAAACCCCAAACCCTAAAACCTAAACCCTAAACCCCAAACCCCAAACCCTAAACCCCAAACCCCAAACCCTAAACCCCAAACCCTAAACCCTAAACCCCAAATCCCAAACCCTAAACCCTAAACCCCCAACCCTAAACCCTAAACCCCATACCCTAAACCCCAAACCCTAAACCCCAAACCCCAAACCCTAAACCCTAAACCCCAAACCCTAAACCCTAAACAAAGGGCCAAGCAGCCCGTGCATCCTGAGGTTTGGCCAGCGGCGCTGCAGTGGACTCCTTGGCTACAGTCGCAAGGAGGGTGGGGTTTAGGGTTTAGGGTTTAGGGCTTGGGGCTTGGGGCTTGGGGCTTGGGGCTTGGGGCTCGGGGTTCGGGGTTTGGGGTTTGGGGTTTGGGGTTTGGGGTTTGGGGTTTGGGGTTTGGGGTTTGGGGTTCCGGGTTTAGGGTTTGGGAATTAGGGTTTGGGTTTAGGGTTTAGGGTTTGGGTTTAGGGTTTAGGTTTAGGGTTTCGGGTTACGGGTTTAGGGCAACGGGTTAAGGGTTTAGGGTTTAGGGTTCTAGCATGCCATAAGCACTCAAACTCTACTCCTGTGTAGGTTTGGATAGCCAATGTCTTGATGAGATTCTTCGGCTAAGCCTTAAACCGAAATTCCTAAACCTTAAACCCTAAACCCTAAACCTTTGCTTTGTTGAGGGTCTTTAGGTACAGGTGACTAGGGCTGCAAGGGATTCGGGCGTTTTGGTTTCGGGGCTTGCCCCCCTGTGTGGGGCTTCAGGGCTTTTAGGGTCTATTGGGTTTAAGGCAAGATGTTAGGCCTCCCGCCACCCTCGAACCCTAAACCCTAGAACCTAGAACCCTAAACCCTAAACCCTAAACCCTACACCCTAAACCCTAAACCTTAAACCCTAAACCCTAAACCTTAAACCCATTCCTTAACCCCGAACCCTCTCATACCAAGCCACGGCATCTGCGATGCCGGGTGCAGGTCGCGGCACCTGCGGAATGCCACGAGTGTTATGAGGCGGTCCGAGGGTTGAGGACTTAGGGTTTAGGGTTTAGGGTTTAGGGTTTAGGGTTTAGGGTTTTGGGTTTAGGGTTTTGGGTTCAGGATTTACGGTTTAGGGTTTCGGGTTTAGGGTTTAGGGTTGGGGTTCAGGGTTTGGAGTTTAGGGCTTCGGGTGGAGGGTTTCAGGTTTAGGGCTTGGGGTGGAGGGTTTAAGGTTGGGGTGGGGGGGGCGCCAGGACGTGCCATGCATGCGCAGCTGATGCATGCCGACTCATTTCCCGGCGGAAGGCTGTCCCCGAACGTCATGAAGCGCAATGGCAAATTGTGCCACTGGAGCGTGAGCTGACTTGGATGGCGTGGCATCGTCAGAAATCGCCTCTCTCATGAGCCGGCCAGCGCGGCCAGCACCTGCAAAATGGTACCCAACTATGACAAAGCTCTGCACGAGGCGGAAGCTCTGAAGGGCTCTGAATAACGCGGGCCGATGCGTGCGCCTGATATGGCGCAGGGGGCTGGGAACTCTGGACGGCGTGGCCGGGCGGAGGCAGCTCGGAGCGACGTGCCCCTGAGGCCGGAGGCACCAATCCGAAGCCGGATGCTTGCATCCTCGCCCCAAGCGCAGATCGCGAACCTCTCCCTAAACCCTAAACCCTAAACCCTAAACTCTAAACCCTAAACAACCTGTGAGAAGCCAAAAGGTGCTGCGAAGACATCACGCTTCCGATTTGTCCACCAAGACATCAGCCCCCCTGACCCCGTGCGCAGCTACAAGAGAAGCCCTAAACCCTAAACCCTAAACCCTAAACCAGACTGCCACACTACCAAACTTGAAGACTTCGTAGCCCAGTAGCCATATCCTAATAAGGGCACCCTGTTTTTGGGTTGGTTTCTTGAGAAGGGAACCTTGAACCCCAAAAAAAGGGAAAAGGGTACCACTGGGCTACCAAGAAGACCAGAGACTTTTTCAGAAGATGACAGATGATGATCCCTAGATTGCCCTCATAACGAAGAACAGCTTCTAATTTGTTGGGTGTGGGCGAGGGGGGGGCGGGCTCTTAAGCAGATGGTATAGTAGACCCTCAAACACTGGACCCTAAACCCTGCCGCCCGCCTGTTGCACCGCGAGGGGCTGTTCGCAGCCCTCGTCCAGGTCCACCGTAGGGCAAACCTCTATGGTTGAACTCGGGCTTGCAGGGTTCAGGGTTTAGGGTTTTAGGGTTAGGGTTTAGGGTTTAGGGTTTAGGGTTTAGGGTTTAGGGTTTAGGGTTTAGGGTTTAGGGTTTAGGGCTTAGGGTTTAGGGTTTAGGGTATAGGGTATAGGGTTTGGGGTTTGGGGTTTGGGGTTTAGGGTTTAGGGTTTAGGGTTTAGGGTTTAGGGTTTAGGGTTTAGGGTTTAGGGTTTAGGGTTTAGGGTTTAGGGTTTAGGGTTTAGGGTTTAGGGTTTAGGGTTTAGACCATTCAGGACTTGGGGTTTCAGGTATTGCGGCCTCGGCTTCGGGTATAGGATGTTTCATCATTCCGCACAGCTAAGGTTTAGGGCCGTTTAGGGCTTGGGATGACCCCAAAAACTCCTAAACCTTGAGCCCGAAGCCCTTACCACAACCAACAAGGGCTTAGCTTCTCAGGGCTTCGGGGCTCAAGAGGTTTACGGCTTCAGGGCGTGATAGTTTTGGGTTTAGGCCTTGACAAGCCTACCCCTAAACCCTAAACCCTAAACCCTAAACCCTAAACCCTAAACCCTAAAGCAACAAGCGGAAGAAAGTCTGAAGCAGCATCGAGACTACTTGCGTAGGACTCAGGGCTTAGGGTGTAGCCCAAGCTAGACCTCTTGAAAGGGGCCCTTAACCTTACGTATACCCCTCATCTACTAATTGCTTAAGAACCCCAAAAAAGTATTCTCCCTTATTAAGGTTCATATAGGGATTCTTACTTTTTATTCTTTGGGGTTCTTAAGCAAACCGCAGTCATATACCCTATACAACCCAAGCGCCCATACTTCAGAACCCTGAATGGGAGGTAAGGGACCGTACTAAGGGCCCATGAAACTACCCTAGGCCCTAAACCCTAAACCCTAAACCCTAAACCCTAAACCCTAAAACCTTCCCATGAAACTACCCTTAGACCTCTCTTAACCCCGCCCCCTCTCGGGGTTGTGCGACCCTTAAGGTTGCACCCTTGGGTTTGGAGACCCTTTTGACGAGATCCTCTAACGGGGCTTTGGGCTTAGGGCTTAGGGTTTAGGGTTTAGGGTTCAGGGTTCAGGGTTCAGGGTTCAGGGTTCAGGGGTTCAGGGGTTCAGGGGTTCAGGGGTTCAGGGGTTTAGGGTTTAGGGTTTAGGGTTTAGGGTTTAGGGTTTAGGGTTTAGGGTTTAGGGTTTAGGGTTTCGGTTTTAGGGTTTAGGGTTTAGGGTTTAGGGTTTAGGGTTTAGGGTTTAGGGTTTAGGGTTTAGGGTTTAGGGTTTAGGGTTTAGGGTTTAGGGTTTAGGGTTTAGGGTTTAGGGTTTAGGAGGGTTTAGGGTTTAGGGGTTTAGGGTCTAGGGTTAGGAGTATGTTCAGGGGAACGGTACAACGTTCGGGGTACGAGTCTTAATCCCTTGGCTCTTAACCCCCCCCCCCCCCCTACGTGAACCCTAACCGCCCTAACCCAAAAACAATGCTGGGGAGCGCTTAGGATTTTGGGTTTCTGTACCCCTGAGAACCCGAAACCCCCAGCCTCAAACCTTGAACCCTAAACCTTAAACCCTAAACCTGCAACCCCAAACCCGAACCCAAAAACACTAAACCCCAAAAACCCTTAACCCTTAACCCTAAACCCTAAACCCCAAACCCCAGTCGCCTGGCTGTTGAGGCGCTGCTTGAATGCCGGCGCCATGGCGGCACCACGGAGCCCGGGGCCATGCTAGGGGCTTCTGGGGCTGAGGAGTGGGGGTTTAGGGTTTAGGGTTTAGGGTTTAGAGTTGAGGGTTGAGGGTTGAGGGTCCAGGGCTTATTGTAGATTGTTTAGGGTTTAGGGTTCAGGGTTTAGGGTTTAGGGTTTAGGGCCTGGGTTTAGGGTTGTTGATGGTTGCTTAGAGTGGTTTAGAGTTTTAGGGCCGTTTAGGGTCAAGGGCTCAGAGTTGCTTAGGGTTTAGGGTTTAGGGTTTAGGGTTTAGGGTTCAGGGTTTCAGGGTTTCAGGGTTTCAGGGTTTCAGGGTTTCAGGGTTTCAGGGTTTCAGGGTTTCAGGGTTTCAGGGTTTCAGGGTTTCAGGGTTTCAGGGTTTCAGGGTTTCAGGGTTTCAGGGTTGATTCGGGTTTGGGCCTTCGCGGTTCTTCCGTCCAGAAGAACTCAAGGAGCCAGCATGGACCTATCTTGGGCATTGGGAAGGTCTAGGGCTTAGGGCTTAGGGCTGAGGGCTTAGGGCTTAGGGCTTCGGGCTTAGGGCTTAGGGCTTCGGGCTTAGGGCTTAGGGCTTAGGGCTTAGGGTTTAGGGCTTAGGGCTTAGGGCTCAGGGCTCAGGGCTCAGGGCTCAGGGCTCAGGGCTTAGGGTTTAGGGTTTGGGGTTTAGGGTTTAGGGCTTAGCCCCCTAAACTTGGGATGTTCCCCTTCTACCAACAGTCCTTAATTGGGATTATGATAGGGGGTACTTTAATCCCTATTAAGGACTGTTGGTATGAGGGGGAACATCCCAACCCTAAAGCCTAGATCCTAAGAACGCCGACGCCCCAAACCCGACCCCTTTTGGGAATCTGATCCCTGAGCCCGAGACAAACGAATTAAAGAAACCCTGGCAAAACCCGACTACCGAAATCCCAACTTCCCCCTCCCCCCCCCACCACCACCAACAACACCCTAAACCCTAAACCAGAAACCCGAAACCCGAAACCCTAAACCCTAAACCCTAAACCCCCCCCCCCCCCCCGCCCTTGCCCCTGCCAAACAAAAAGCAAACGCCCCCGGGCCTTGGACCGGGGATCCTGCCTCGGATCGCGCTGCTCTGCCTGCCTGGGCAATCGGGGACCTAAACCCTAAACTTTAAACCTTAAACCCTAAACCCTAAACCCTAAACCGGGAACTAAGGTTTGGGGATTTGCGGGTTTGGGGTTTTCCAGCAACTGATTAACGTGCCAAAACAAAAAGGTATGTACCGCAAAACATACCCCTGAAAAAAAACTCTCTCAAAGCCCCTGAAGGGTAACAAGTCTGAACTAGGTTGCCCAGGGACCTAATATACAAGGCAAAGGTGTAAAGTTCAAACAAGAACCCACACAAGGAAAGGAATCATTCAGGGTGCTAGCGGACATCCCAGCCTAAGCCCTAAACCCTAACCCTGAGCCCCTTGAAGAACCCCGCACAAGCCCCTCAGAATTACAAATTCCTACGTAAACCTTAAGCCCTTACCCTAAAACCTTAAACCCTAAACCCTCGCAGGAAATAACAAAACCCTAAACCCTAACCGTACACCCTGAACCCTACACTAAACGCGAACGAAACAACCCTAAAGGAATTCGAACTGAGTCGTTGTCAAAAACCCGTTTTGAAATCGTTATCCTACATCTAAACCTAAGCAAATCACTGCGGCCGCCTACTAAACTTACTTGGAAGTCTGAGAAGTAAACATGGACGAACATCGAGCTGAGACTCACGTAAGCTCAACAAACACGCTGTGAAACTCCCTAAACCCAAAACCCTAAACCCGAAATCCCAAATCCCAAAATCCCTAAACCCTAACAGTAACACCCAGCCCCCCTTTCACACCTATAAAAACTCCCTGAACCCTAAACCCTAAACCCTAAACCCTAAAACCCCCATCCACCAGCCCCAGACCTTCCGAGCCGCCCCAAGCAGCCTGAGGTACGGGCGTTTCTCGCGTCAGGAATACTTGGCGGCTGCCTGCTACCTTATAGAGGATCTGAGCAGCCACCAGGCTCATCATGCCTGAACTGACCTCAAAGCCCCTGCGGCTCGCCTCGGGAAAGGTCTCCGCTGAGCTCCGCCAGCACACGCCGAAGCTGCCGCCGCTGCGACCGCGTCAGGCCGCCGACCAGACTTCTCATCAGGTCGACTGCGCCCGTCTTAGGGTTTAGGGTTTAGGGTTTAGGGTTTAGGGTGTAGGGTTTAGGGTTTAGGGTTTAGGGTTTAGGGTTTAGGGTTTAGGGTTTAGGGTTTAGGGTTTAGGGTTTAGGGTTTAGGGTTTAGGGTTTAGGGTTTAGGGCTTAGGGTTTAGGGTTTAGGGTTTAGGGTTTAGGGTTTAGGGTTTAGGGTTTAGGGTTTGCGCAGGAGTTCTGCACTGGCGAGGGTATCGGTGGGGGTATCGGCAGGCTCTCGGCAGCGTAGCACTGAGGCACCCTGCTAAGAACTTGATTTTGCACCGTTTCTATTGTTGAAACCTGCTTAAAAACCCTAAATCCTAAACCCTAAACCCGAAACCCTAAACCCTAAATCCTAAACCCTAAACCCTAAACCCCAAACCGACAGGGTCTCCCACTTCCGCTGCGCCGCCGCAGGCGCGCGGCTGGCAGCTGCGGAGGCAGCCTGCGCCTTGGCGTGATTCCGGATCGTTTGGGGTTTGGGGCTTAGGGTTTGGGGTTTAGGGTTTAGGGTTTAGGGTTTGGGGTTTGGGGTTTAGGGTTTAGGGTTTAGGGTTAGGGTTTAGGGTTGAGGGTTTAGGGGTTAGGGTCAGGGTGTCAGGGTTGGGTTCACTCCCTAGAAGCCCTATAGACCCTAGAAACCCTAAACCCTATAAAACCCGACAAACCCTACAAACCCTACAATCCCTGTAAACCCTACAAACCCTATAAACCCTACAAACCCTATAAAACCCTATAAACCCTTTAAACCCTGTAAACCCTGAAGCCCTTCAGGCCCCCTGCTGCCACGCCACATGTAGCGGCGTTTGAGGTTGCCAGGCGCTAGGTTTGGTTGTTGTGCCTAAAACCTTTTTATCCCCACAAGGCCTTTAAAGCCGATAGACCCGATAAAGCCTAGAAACCCGACAAACCATAGAAACCCTAGAAACCCTATAAACCCGAAACTGCTGTGTTCGGCGCCTAGATCTGGGGTTGGAGTTACGGGTTGGGGTTTGGGGAGGCTTAGGGTCTGGGTTTGAGGGGCTTATCGGTAGGTTCATGTAGGCCATGACTTCTCGAACCCTGAACCGTGAACCCTAAGCTCGAAACCCTAAACCCTAAACCTTGATTCTCAGGTGCAAACCCTAAACCCTAAACCCTAAACCCTAAACCCTAAACCCTCAACCTTAAACCTTGATTTTATGGCTCCCTCCTCATGCTACGGGCACCTGGACTGTGGGACTAAAAGCCCTGGAGCTGAATCACAAAACCCAGAACCCTCAATCCGAAACAGGTTTAGGGTTTGGGGTTTAGGGTTTGGGGTTTGGGGTTTAGGATGTAGGGTTTAGGGTTTAAGGGTTTAGGGTTGAGGGTTTAAGGATTTGGGGTTCAGGGTTTCTTAGGGTCCATACACCATCAGCGCCAGCACGAAACCCTCAACCCTAAACCCTAAACCCTAAACCCTAAACCCTAAACCCTAAACCCTAAACCTCAGAGAGCTCATGGGGGGCCAGCAGAGCTCGATGCTGCAGCCGGCGCAGCTACAGCCTGTCAACCCAGGGTTCAGCGGGCTTGGGGTTTGGGGTTTAGGGTTTAGGGTTTGGGGTTTAGGGTTTAGGGTTTAGGGTTTAGGGTTTGGGGTTTGGGGTTTGGGGTTTGGGGTTTAGGGTTTAGGGTTTAGGGTTTAGGGTTTAGGGTTTAGGGTTTAGGGTTTAGGGTTAGGGTTTAGGGTTTAGGGTTTGGGGTTTGGGGTTTGGGGTTTGGGGTTTGGGGTTTGGGGTTTGGGGTTTGGGGTTTGGGGTTTGGGGTTTAGGGTTTAGTGTTTAGGGTTTAGGGTTTTGGGTTTAGGGTTTAGGGTTTAGGGTCCAGAGAACGCTGTTGTAGGGTTTCGGGGTTTTGCGGTTTAGGGCGTCTAGGGTTTCTAGGGTTTACGGGTTTGGGGGCTGTATTGGAGAGTTGGCCTTTAGCTTGGGGTTTAGGGTTTGGGGTCTGGGTTTGGGGGTTTGGGTTTAGGGTTTTGGCAAACCTTGGCCCAAACAGCACTTCTTCCACCCTCAAACCTTAAGCAATTTTCAACCCTAAATTAAACCCTAAAGCCCTAAAACCTAAAAGCTTTAAGCCCTTGAACCCAAAGCCCTCAAACCCCTAAGCTTAACCCTTAACACCCCTAAACTAAGCCCTCAACCCCTAGGCCCTTAAACCGTTAAACCTCTGAAACCCTAAACCCGTAAACTTCACCACCAAAACCCTTAACCCTAAACCCTAAACCCTAAACCCTAAACCCCTAAACCCTAAACCCTAAACCCCAAACCCCTAAACCCTAAACCTCAAAACCCCTAAGCCCTGCAAGGTGCCTCAAAGTCCTCCAATGATTCGAAGGCGCTCCTGCCAGGACGCAATGTTGGCATCTTGGGCCCTGTTTGGGGGTTGAGTGGTTTAGGGTTTAGGGTTTAGGGTTTGGGGTTTAGGGTTTAGGGTTTGGGGTTTAGGGTTTGGGCTTTGGGCGATTCAGGGTTTGCCGGTTTTCGGGTGCAGGGTTCCGGGTTGAGGGTTGAGGGTTACTGTTCGGGGCATAAGCCCTGAACCCCTCAGCCGCCATCCCCAAGATCCGGGTTATTTAGGAAACCCTTATAACCTTCACTCCTGAATGGTTTTGGGTGTATTACCCTAAACCCTAAAACCTAAACCCTAAACCTTGAGCCATGGTTGCAACAGTGTGCACCATCAGGAGCGCAAGGACCAAACGAGAGCGAGTAGGCCGCGGCAGGGTTCTGCCGTGGTTTTGGGCAGGGCCGTACGGTTAGGAACCATGCCCCCAAACCCTAA